ACCCATGGACTCTTATCGACATACCCTGTATGGGTGATATGCTGCCTCCAAGCATTCGAGAATTACAAGTCAACACGGATTACCCTTCGCCGTCCGAGGATGCACTCATGGCACTGTTCAAGAACGTCAAAGATCGAAGCGTGGACAAATTGACGCAACTCAAGAAGTCGGTCATACGGCAGTACATGTACAGTACGGCGCAGAAGATGGCCGACGATCACGGTGTAGTGTTGGAGGTATTCGAAGAGCATAAGGCGGAACCGCTGCCGAGGTCGATGATGCCGCAGTGGAAGCGCGAATTTGATGCCAGGGTGGGCGGCATCGTGATGACTTCGGAAGAGTAATGTGCGAGATACATACTTGCTACGCTATTTATCATTTTGGATTCCTTTTCTGCATGCATCGTCTTCACGTTTACGCGACCATGAGAGAAAATTGTTTCAATCTTGCAACTCACGATTTCAAAATCAAAGAACTAAAATTTCTTTCTTGCCTGTCCCGAGGACAGGAGATGGTTGCCTGCAGGGTGTATCGGGTGAGGATGCCTCGCTTCATCAAACCGTGGTACAGCTTCGACGCAAAAACCCTGGATAACGTGTCTGGTTCCCAGGCCCATGGTTGTTCTGATATCAACCAAGATTAATTTCCCATGTACAGGATGTATTGACCTCCATTTCTCTCCCTTCAGCTTTCTCTCAGTACGTTGTAACTTATTCCGCATACTATCCGTAGACCCGCACCGGCCCTAATTGACCAAACACCCTTCCACTGCATACAACACCCCTTGCACCAACAAATACCACCCACCACAACAATGCGCTTCTCACTTGCATTTCTCCTGTCCCTCCTCACGGTCGCCCTTCCGTTCGCCGAGGCCGCGGATTGGAAGCCCAGGCAGGTCAGATTCTGCCAAGATAAACGATCGGAGGACCATAACCCTTTGACCTTCGACCCTACAACGGATCGTCTCATCAGTGTTCGACGCCGAAGTTTACACAGATGTTAAATACTGTGCTCATCGCCCGTTCAAGAGAGGGATGTAAGTGTTGACAATACTCTTGATCGATTCATAGGCCAATGATTTACGGCCGGATGTTTCGATCGAGTAGGAGAAATGGGGCATATGGGAGAGATTTATGAGGAGATGTGTACATGAACGGGTAATTCCACATCCTGGCCGTTGAGAAGGAGTGTACTGTACCTATTGTCAAAGGAAAGGTTTTGCTTCTAGAACCCATGTATGTGTCATTTGGATACAAGATTTATTTATTGAGATGCGCGAGGCATAGATAATTACAACCCAGTCTAAATCTTTGATCCGCCCCTCTCGCTTTCCAGCTTCGCCTTGATGGGTCCTAACAAGTTACCGACAAACTCATCCGTCATCATTTCCTGGCCCGTGCCCTCGCCCTCAGGTGGCGGAATGTTCCACTCCGGGATGAGTCTGCTGCCCTTCAGCGTGACCTCCAGTACACTTCCGCAAGCGTACTCCTTCTTCTGCAGCAAGTCGAGCAGATGCGCAGCGCAGACTTCCGGTGTAAGAGACCGGTTTTCTGTGACGGAGTATTGCTTCAGTTTCTGTGCGTCGAAAAGCGGTGTCATGACGCCGCCGGGACACAACGTGGTGATCTTGACTCCAGTGAGCGGCTCCGTGTCTTTCATTGACTTCACGAAGCCGACCATGGCGTGCTTTGTTGCGCAGTACAACGGTGCGGCGATGCTTCCTGTTAATCCGCCAACTGATGCGATGATGCACACGCTCGCTCGCTTCCCTTTGCTCAAGCTCTTCCTCAACGCCATTCGCGTGAGTTTGATCGGATGATTAACGTTGACGTCGACCTGCTTGTAGCCCTCATCTTGCTCCGGGTCCTGCCAAAAGTTCGAGAAAGGCGGGTCAAACAAGCCAGCGCAAATACCGTATGCATCAGGGACGTCGTTCCATTTCTTCTCGCATGCGTCAAACATTTTGGTGAAGTCGCGCCATTGCGTCACATCCGATTGAACGTAGAGGATGTTGTTTTTGCCAGCCGCGAATGTATCGAAGTCGGATGTGGTTTTGAGATCGGCTACAAGAACTTTTGCGCCGATATCGTGGGCTTGTTTGGTGAGACTGAGACCAATACCTAATATGGTGAGCTTTAGGCCGTGTTTGAGTTGATATGGGATTAGCTACCTGACGCGCCTCCCGTGATGAGAAGGATCTTTCCGTTCAGCGGTTGATCGATAGAAGACATGATGTGATAGTTGGGATGTCAGGTGTTGGAATGTAGGGGTAAGATTGTATTTGGGCAGTACGCAATGTTTGGCGAAGATGGTGAAGTATGCCATTGGCTCGGGTGGGTTCGGGTAAGGGAAACCGACGATCTGGGCGCGATGCTCGACGCCATTGCGTACCACAAAGTGAGGGGACTCGGACATGACTGAAACATGTATTGGCTTGCGACTATCTTGTGATGGATGTATCCTTATTGTTAGTTGAAATGCAAGCGCAGAGTTGGGGCGTGCGCCGCCGCGGGCGTGACAGCAATTGCTTGTTTGTGGAAAGCATCATTGCAGGACGTGTAGTTTGCACCTCTGTGGTACAGTGTCGCGAGTCAGCAAGATGGACATCCTTCCGTAGGTGAGTCGTGGTGCATGCATAGATTGAGTGATGTAGATTTTAGATCGACCGCGCCTTCCTTGGTCTATATTAGAGATTACCCCTCGCCTGTGGGGTAGGTGCGTGTGACATGAACTAATCTTCCAATACTTGCTGGCGACTACCATGCACTATTATGCTCAGCTTTCTCCGCATGAAGACAACTGTGTAGCATGCAGAGATACCTTCCAGTCATATCACGCTCTATTTGCCGCCTGCCCAGTCACAGCTTTCCCACCTTCGATCACTGGTTGCTCAACACCCGCTGTGACTTCCAAACTACCCATATCAAACAGGTACTCCTCGTCTTTCTTGACAACGGTCAAGTAGTACTCATCTTCGTATGCCCGCTCAAAGTCCTCGAATGACTTGTACCAGAAGTCGGCGATGCCATCGTAAGACAATGTGGACTGCGTCAGGCGCGATTTATGCACTGAGACTGTGTGATACTAGAAATCCATGAGCCATGGACGATAGATAGGCGATGAGCTTCAAGATCGATGGGACTTGAAGCAACAGGGCGCCATACCTGGACGTACTTCACACAGTTGTGCTTCTGGAGCCAGGACGTGATCAAGGGACCATGTTTATTCGCCCAGTGATCGTTGAACTCGTCTTCGGAAAGCTTGGGATTGCGTCTCGCGCAGACGGTGATGCGTATTAGCTGGTCGTTCGACATGACCAAGCATACTCAGGAGACAGCAGAAAGGGCAGTTGAGGCAGGTTCTGAGGCTGTACAAGTTTGGGAAGAATCCCGGTGGTCTGTGAGAAGGCAGGTTTCTTGCCAAATTGTCTGACTAGACTTCGCTGTAGGCTGGATTACAAGTCATGACATCATGAACGACGTTTGACTCTCATCAAGATCAGCAGCAAGATGTAGAGTAAATGAATCTCGGCTCTCTTCCCAGCTGTCTTAAAGTATATTTGAAGTCCTCGTGGGTTACGATACGCATTATATACGATTGCCTCATCGACTGTTTCACAGCATCCTGCGACACCTAGCAGAACCATCCACCATCAATCTGCATCGCATTCCCTGTAATGAAAGAAGACTTATCAGAAATAAGAAACTCAATCAACGGTGGGACTTCCTTCTGATCCGCCATCCTCCTCAGCGCCAGGAAACTCCAGTCCGTCGCGGAGCCTTTGATCTCTACCGACTTTCTCAACATTGGTGTATCGATTGGTCCTCTACTATATGTCAGTGCTTTTCTTCATGGCAACAGCTAAATACGTACGGGCATATGCAATTCACTCTAATCTTCTTCGGTCCTAGCTCTTTCGCGGCGGTTCTTGTCATGCCAACGACTGCATGCTTTGAAGCGCAGTAAGCGAGGTTCTTCGCTGCGCCGATGACTCCGAGTATGCTGGCTGCGTTGACGATAGAAGCACCCTCGTTGAAATGCGGAACTTGAGCACGCAGGCAGTTTCTCAACCCGATGACGTTCACTCCCATGACAAAGTCCCAGTCATCATCGTCGATGTCGCTAATCTCGCCTATGTTTGCTTGCTTGCCGATGACACCGGCGAGATTTGCGGCGCCGTCCAGCTTTCCAAATTTCTCGACTGTGGTTACGATCCATGCTTCGACGGCTTTGCGGTCTCTTATGTCGACGACTTGGGTCATGACTTGTGCTCCTGACTGTTGAAGTTCGGCTTCCAGCTCTTTCAGTGGCTTTTCTTGGACGTCTGCGAGTGACAATTTGGCGCCGTTGCTTGCGAAAAGTCGAGCTGTTTCAAGGCCCATGCCAGATGCGGCCCCGGTGATGACGATGACTTTGTCCTTCATGATGACCCGAGCTGCAAATCTGAGGAAAAGAGTCTGCGATGAGAATAGAGAAGCGAAAGGAAGGTGTGAGTGCCTACATTTACATCACATCCAGTTATTATTCAGCACAACATGCTTATAATATTAGCAGATCCTTGTAGTCATCTGAATGGCACACGCCCTAACGCCCACTGGATTGCTACAGACGCTGGTGATCCGACGCTCCGAGCCATCGCGGTTGCTCGCATGCGATCTTTGAAGTGTTGAAGGATGAACTTTCCCGGTCGGTGTTGGAAGGAAACAGCCACGCCAACCCCGCTTTACCGGTACAGCACTTCGGACGCCGGCCCGGAACGTCTTCCACACTTCCTGTCTACTGCGAATATACACTCACATCAGCCACATGGGGTATAATTTTGCGCAGTGTCTTTGTTTGCAACGACCGAAATTGTTTGCTTTCTCGCTCGCTCATCGATTCCCCTGACAATCCAACATGTGTTTGCAAATCACTGTCCTATTCTTTAACACCAGCGCAGTCAATCATTCTCTCACTTGAGCAAACAGCAAAACCAACAAGCAAAAAGAAACTAAGACAGGGCCGAACCGGAGTCGAACCGGTTACCTCAGGATCTGCAATCCTACACTGCAGACTTGTCAGCGACCTGTTGAGGATGTGGAAGTCAAGTTGTACGAACCTCTACCGTTGAGTTACCGGCCCGTAGTGGGTTTGTTGATGAAGAGAAGAGCTAGTATATTGCATGTATACGTAATCATTCTGATTTAGACAAGCGGTCTATCTGCGCTGAGGAATGTGTAGCTTGATTGTTGGGGTGACACATACGCTGTGCACCCCATGGAATTACCCCTTGCAACGTAGCCGTACATCAAGCCCTCAAAGAATCCAGTCCCCCCAAAGTCGGTCGCTTCGAGTAGTCGCGGAACGCCTCTCCACGTGTCGTAATGGATGTCTCGACACAAGTATATCGAACGCAGGATTTTCTTTTTCCTCATATCTCGCAGCCTTTCATCTCTTCGCAAAACATCGGTGCCACCTCTTCATAGTCGCCCAGCCTTAAGGTCCTGCCGTCTAATCCGGCCCTGATCCTTCTGACCACTACTTCCAATTCCACCCGGTTCCCTCTGACCATTTCTTACTCCATCGTTCCAGCTTGTAACGGACCTCGACGGTGCGAGGGCGTCATACCCGGTTGGAGCAGAAATACTTTTGGCTCGTCGATGTTTGCAAACTCCCATACCTTGTCCATTAGCTCACGTGGAAGGCAAAGAAAGTCTGCGGTTGGAAGGGTTCTTGTGGATGCGTTTCCAATAGATGAGTCGAGCAATTCTCAGCAGAAGTGGTTTCATTGTGTTACCTAGAACGTGTGTAAAGTGTGCTAGCGGGCCAGTCATAGAGCTCTGACCATGTGTACCTCGTGAAAGTTACTTGCGCTAGCGTGCAGGAGCGTGTGGTGAACAGTGAGGTGTGTAAATTTGCGCGTGTTTCACTAACAATATGCCCTAGTCCATATGCCACTATACCAAAACCAAGCGTCATGCTGATGTGACTCAACCCTCTCTGCGAGGGTACATGCCTCTTCTTGAACATATTATGGAAGTGTTCATCTAACTCTACGAAGCTCTTTTCATTGTTCATATTGAACTGAGGGCTTCCTCGATGGGCTATTCAGCGACAGAAGAAGTTCGGGGCGTGATTGAGTGACGTCTTGCTTCACCTACAGGATAGGAGTTTGTCACCGTGAGCCATACGTACGTCATATCTTTTCCCATTGAAGCGGCCAACGCCTTGAATGATCCGCACAAACCCCATGCCACTAGAATGCCTCCTGGCACAATAGCATGCAAATCAAAAACATCATCCTCAAAATGCCAGGCGCACATGTTATGAAGATCTTCACACTTGGTGTCGCTGCATTGGCTGGGTTATCCATCGCGCGTCAGGACCCCGAAACCAAAGCTGAAGGAGTAATGTCGAGAACACATACTGAAATCGATGCTCCCACAGCGTACCCCCTCAGACCGCGCAAAAAGGCCGAAGAGTGCATACACTTTGTACTATCAGACGTTGTTGCTTGAGAAAAGCTTTGCTAGAATGTGAGATTGCGTTTGATGTTTGGACGCGCTGCCACGTGCTGCGTGAGGTGATTTAGCGCGCGGAGCATGTTTCCCTGCAAATGAGCCTCACGAAACGAGCCCTGAAGGCTGAAGCTTCTCGTTTCCAGCTTGGACTAGCCGTCCTCTTCCACCATAAGCCCTCCAATTTATCAAACGAGCCTCCATCCCCCAAACACGATCGTCATTTACGCGTCGCGAGCGCGCCACCCACCGCGTCTGCACCGGCGGCCTTTCTCCGTGTATACATCTAGGCTATCGGAAGATAGAGGGACGCTGTCTAGAATTCGTAGACATGTATTGCGATATGAGCCACAAGCGGAGATTTGACGAATTTCACGAGTCGATGAAGTCCCTGCTCGACACAGGGAAGCACTCAGACTTTTTTGATTATATGCGGCACTGACACCTACAATGTGCTTAAGTCTTTTGTGTGCTCGCAATGCAATTTCTTCGACGCTGCAAGCAGATTCGGAAAGGAGGCCGAGGAAGGGAAGATAGACCTCGCGGACGATGAGCCGGAGATTGTCAAGTACATGATCCAGTATCTCTATGAACTCGACTATCACATTCCATCGGAGCTGATTGAAGGACCATGGGCGTTTCAACTGGACTGGGAAACAGTGAAGAGTATTCGAAGGAACCAGAGACGACATTATGATCAAAGTCTCTAGATTTTGTCCGCAACACTGCTGGCAGGAAATTGGAGAGACAAACATAATCTCCAGACGGCATGACACAAGTAACATAAGCTTCATGGGTGCAGCTACTAATCAACGATACAGCAAACAAGTCCTACTCCTACAATTTTCAAACTAGTTCTTAAGAACCGCGAGCATATGGTTTTTTTGAAAGAAGCCACCGAGATGTGGAAGAACGAACACGCGAACAACACGACCCAAAATCTACCACTCCTTGTACACGCGGACGACCTGAGCATTCACGCCGACGTGTACGCATTAGCAGAGAAGTACAACGTCAGCGGCCTAAAAGACCTCACGTACGAGAAATTCGAAGCCGGCTTGAAGTAGGTCTTCACAGGTAACAATTCTTTCAAATAGTCGATGAGGTCTACACAAGCACTCCTCAGCAGGATACAAGGCTGAAGAGACTGGTAGCCGCATACCTCGTCCGCGAAAAACATCACTACGGCATGTACTTTGCCCTCAAAGAGGCGCTCGAAGCTAGACTCGAGCTGGCGTATCACATGCTTTTATACGAATGGAGCATTGAGCTCCCCTTGGAAAATCCGTCTAATACTACCATTGCCACATAGCAGAGCATTAACATTTGCAACGTTCTGCCCTCGACAGACTTGGGTTACACAAGTTGTTTGAGCATATACAGGCATTTGTATGCTGGAAACATCTGGATAGAACATATCTTCGCTTTGCGAGAAAAGTTGTATATCTCTTAGCGTAGCAAGGCTTCGTGCTTGTGTCATCGCGACTGAACCTACACATCACCACATAATACAAAGCCACGTACAAAGGAATATCCTACTAGTGCGGCGAATCCATTCAGGATCCAATACAGCCCGTCTATTCATCCTCCCCACACCCGTGTATCCCTTCAACTTTGACACCACAACACCCCAATCCCCCCTCTCTACCGTCCCAAAAACTCCCCCACAAACCTCGCCACCTCCTCGGGCCTCTCCACCATCGGCAAATGCCCCGCCCCATCTACAACCCTCAACTCCACCCCACCCCCAAGTTTCTGCGCCATGTTCTCCTTCATGGTCTTCGGCAACACGCCGTCCCCCGCGCCCACCAGAAACGCGCCTTTACCTTTATACCCCGCCATTTTCTCCCTGATATCATACTGATGCAGCGCGACAACCGACTCCCTAAACCCAGACAGGGAATTATTCGCAACCATAGTTTTCACGCGCTCAATTTTCTCAGCCAGGGCAGTGTCGTTGTACGACTCGGGCACGAACCATCTGCGCACCGTGGCTTCGGCGAGGTCTGTGCCGACGATAGCTTCGCCCGAAGATGAAGTCGCGGCTTGTTTCTCGCACATGGCGACGCGGTCATTCCACGCGTTTGCATTTGAGGGCGGCGCGAAGGCGTTGGTGTCGCATGCGATGAAAGCTGCGATGCGATCGGGGTACGACAGGCCTGCGTTGAGTGCCGTTGCGCCGCCGAGAGATACGCCGATGATGGATGCTTGTTTGATGCGCAGAGCGTCCAGGAGGGAAATGACGTCTTTTGTGAGAAGGTCAATGTTGATGGGGGATGTGGAATTTGGTGAGAGGGTGTTGCGCCCGCGGGTGTTGTAGCGGAGGATGCGGTAGGAGTTGTCGGTGAGCTTGAGGAAGTGGGTGACGAAGTCGTCCCAGATGCCGTAGTCGACAAGGATGCTGTTTGCGAGGATGATGAGGGGGGCGTCTGGGGAGGTAGAGCCTTCGAGGCGGTAAGGGAGGTCGACGCCGTCTGGGGTTGTGATGAAGCTCTCGATTGCGGGCCTCTTGTCGGATGTTGTATGGGCTGGGTATGACTTTGTCAGGCCGTTGGTTGACTCTGCAGGTACCGTATCGCTACTCGCCAGACTCTGCAAATCTCTCTGTGCGGCTCCAAAGGTATAGTATAAGTCGTATACTCTCCGCTTTCTCTCCTTGACAACATCCTTGTATATCTTGTCACACCACTCAGTCGTAGTAGCGGCCTTGAACTCTGGCCCTCCGAGTCCATTGTTCGGCGCATACTCATGCAGCGCAAGAAACTCTGTCTCTTTCCTATGTCCACTCTCAAGATCCAAGTAGCTCGTCACGAACCTTCTTGTCCTCCTCCACCCTGGAACCTTCTGCAGCAGGGGTACATGCTCTTCTTCGTACCACTTCCTCAGCTCTTTTTCCTTATCCGCACCGTCTTGTAGTTGAAAGCTCACTGCAACCATAACGTTCTTCTCTCCTTCGTTTTCCACGTTTTGCAGGTCTCGAAAGTCATCACCCTTCCACTCTTTCAGTAAATCGTAATTCCTTCGATCCACAAAGATTTGCTTCATCGTATCTCTCTCCCTCTGACTCTGTACCGGCGCACTCCTCAGCTTCAAGTATGTTTCGTGCGTGAGGTGTTCGAGTTCGTCGAAGTCGTAAATTGCCATCCACTCCGGCTTCTCTTGGCTGCCAGCCTGACTCTCGAGATCGGTGGCGCGGTATCGGAAGCCATTCCTGCAGAAGGGTAGACGTAGCCGGTTTGGACCGTGTTCATTTTGGTACCTTGAAGTCAATGGTGTCAGATGTTGCTTTGAAGATGCGAGAATCCAACTAAGGAGAGGTCAACTTACCAGTCGTGGAATTGCGCGTCCGGCAAACCCTGTTTGGGCTGCATGGTCACATACAGGATGCCTGGTGTGGATTTGGATGCCATGATCAGGATATGGTGGAGTATGTTGAATGTCTCGGGTCGATGTACGTGTTCTGACTGCAATTGTACCTTAGAATAAGGATGCAATAGTATTGATTGGAAGTTGAAGTTCGTCTGAAATCGAGGATTCCAACGCAATACAATGACGAACAACTCCGAGGAT